TTTCCGTCACAACAGCCAGAGAAGTCGGCCTTCCATCCGTGAGGCTGTTTTATGGGTGAGCTCAGGCAGGTGGACTTGCCTGCCCAGAGGTCACACAGCAACTCACAGCTGGACCTGGGATTGGAACCCAGTCCGACAAGCACGGATCTTTCTGGAGGGCCAGCCGAGTGCCTGGCACTAGGCTCGGGTGGGACTGGAGGTGGGCGGGGCATCTGTCCACTCCCTTCTCCCCTGTCCCTGGGGCTGGCTCTCAGGGGCAGCATCCGAACACCCTTTCTCACACCCAGCCACCCCTATGCAGGGCCTGGCCGAGGACTCCCCACCAAGCTGCTGGGACAATGCCCTGGGGGGTCTGGGAGCACCTGTGAGTCACGCACCTCCCTCTCTCACCTTCCTCAGGCTGGCCCTGCACTTTCTGTCCCCTTGGAGGGGGTCCTTGGCAAGCAGAGGCCTGAGGCCACCCCTGTGGGAGGCTTAGGGGACTGGGAGGTGGAAGCCCCAGCACAGGGGGGAAGGGAGGGACAGAAGGTTCTAGAGCCATTGCAATGAAGGGGGATCCACGAGAGGATTTCAAATTCTGGTTTAAAGAACTGAGGTTCTCTGGCCCTGGCCAGGTGGCTCAGTGATTGGAGTGTCGCCCGATACACCGAGGTTGTGGGTTTGATCCCCGGCCCGAGCACATACGAGAAACGACCAGTGATGCATAAATGAGTGGAGCAACCAGTCCGTATTTCTGTCTCTTTCCCTTCGCATCTCTCTCACATCGATACATTAAAAAATTCAAACAAGTTTATAACAAGAATTAAGGCTCTGGACTATTGCCATCTGTCCACCCCAGCAAGGGCCTGGTAGCTGCGGAGAAGGACGGCAGCTTTGGGAAGCGGGACGGGCCTGTGGCAGGTGGACGAGGGAAGGAGGAGAAGCATGTCCCGGGGGAGGACTGGGCCTGGGAAGGTGGCCGTCGCTCGGAGAGGGGCCCACTTGAGGGTCTCAGGGCCCCTTGGCCACACTGCCCCCCCCTTGGGGTGCCTGTGGGCCCCTGGAGGAGTGCAGTCGGCCCGGTGCCCTCCGACCCAGGCCGCCCTCAGCTGGGCCGGGTGGGAGCTGCCTCGTGGATAGAAGGTGGGCAGATGAAGACTTGGGAAGTGTCAGCCCAGCAGTCTGGCTGGGGTCTACCAGACACTGTCTCCTCTGTCCCTACAAGCAGGGCCTGTCACTTCTGCCTGGCAGATGAGGTCAGGGACCCCTGAGTCACTCATACCCAGGCCAGTTTCCCCCTGGCGTCCATCCGTCTGTCCGTCTCCTGCTTCCTCACTGCCCGGGCTTGGGGCCGGTGCCAGCGCCGTGGCTGGAAACCTGGGTGCCGCCGTCAGGGCATCCCAGCCCTCGGGCCCTCCTCTCTCCTGCCACCACAGCAAGCCGCTCCGCTGCCAGGTGGTGACTCATGGCAGGCGTCTCACTTGCTCTGGGCTCACGAGACGGTGAAATGAGGTGACGCTGGGCCTTGATCCACATTTGACCTCCCTTCCCCATGGCCCGCTGGCTCAGCTCCCTTCTAGCAGGTGGAGAGCTGCAGACCTGCAGCGAGGCGTGGCCTGGGTCTCCCCGAGCCTCGTCCCTGTCCTTCCCAGGTGGGCCGGGAAACCGAAGTAACTCTGCTCCTCCAAGCACCTTTCCAGGACAGCGGGCCACCCCTCCAAGGGTCAGGTGGCAAGGCCAGGTGGAGGGTCCCTGCCAGCCCTGGGTCTCTGGCCTCCTCTTCCAGGCCAGCAGCGCCACCTGGTGGCCTCATGCCCCTAGACACCTCGGTCCAGCTGCGGGCATCTCCTGTGCACCAGTGGGAGGGGCTCGCCCAAGGTCACTGGCAGCTGGGAGAACCCAGCAATCCTGAGCCCAGGGACTGTGCTCTTAGCTCTGCCCCTGCCAGGTGTGGGCAGCTTCCAGGGGAAGCCCAGAGATGGGGCTTACCCCCGGGGCACGCATGAGGGAGGGGGCCTTAGTCAGTGGGACAGGGCGTGAGGTGCGGCGGGTTCCTGCTGGGACTGGGACCCCCAACTCTGCCCAGTGCAGGGAGGGAGGGTGTTGTGGAATGAATGGGAGAAAATGAGTGGGGGTGCTAGGCCCTTCCGGGGCACCCCTGCTTTCACTGTTATCTCGGGCTTGTCACCAATCATTACACAGGCTCCAGATGTGTTCCCACACCCACATGTATTTAACACGCACACATGTAAACACATGTCCACAGGCACATACACCTGCGTGCACACAACTTTACCCGTGCACGATGCACGTCTATACACCGCAGTCCATGCACACACAGCACACGCTCACGCACACTCGTGTCTAATTCACACAGCCCCACCTCCTGGTGGAAGGTGTCAGTCAATCATCCCCCACTTGACGGAGAGGGAGCCGAGGCTCAGGAGAGCTCACATCTTGCTCAAGACCGGGGAGGCTGGTGTGGCTGAGGGGTTGGTGTGGGGGGACACCCTGTTGACCGTGGTGCCTGCCATGGGCCCGGCAGTGTCGCCCTGTCCGTGAGCCTCTGGCCTTAGGGGCTGACTGCTGTCCTCTGAGCTTGGCGCTGGGCAGACAGGGTAGGGTCTGAACTCCTAGACCTCCCCCCACGCACTGGGGCCTGACGCTCACCCGCAGCAGGCCACTAGGAGGCGTGGTCCATGGGGGTAGGTGGGGTGGAGGAAGACCCTCGGGTCCCAGGACTCCTCTGTGACTGGGTTCCAAGGCCCCCAGTACAGTCTGGACACCTGGGGCGCACAGGGCCAGCTGCCCTTCTGCAGAGACCTGTGGGCCCCGGGCCCTGTGAGATGCGGGGAACACTGAGGTCTTCCTGGGGCCACAGTGGGGTCCTGATGGCTGAGTGCAGGGCAGGTGACCACGCACCTGGCCTGCTCTTCCCGCCAAGTTCGTGCTCACCACTCCCTTCCACCTGGGACCTTTCAGGCGCTCCTACTCTGTCATGCCACCCCAGGTAGGCGTCCTTGACTGGACTATGAAAGAGGACCCCATATTCTATGAGGCCCCCTCTCTGCCCGGGACACTCCCCATCCCTAAGCTGGTGCCCCGAAGGCTGGGGGGCCCCAGGGAGAGGGGAGGCAGAGCCCCAGGCTGCCTCTGAGCACACAGAGTGGTCCCTTGCTTCTGTCCTTGCTGGGCCCATGGGAGGTGGGTGTGCAGTCCAGCTGGGTGAGTGGGGGGTGCAGGCAGCCCCCCCCTCCTGCCACCCACTGCCAGGCTGGGGCGCCATGTGCTCTAAGCTCTTATTGCAGACGAGGAATGAGGACCAGAGAGGGGCAGGGAGACGGCCAAGGTCTCGGGGGCTCTGCCCCCAGGCTCTGCCAGGGCACCCCCCACTCCCCACCCCTGCCCCAGGGATCCACAGAGCAGGGCTCCTGCCATCTGGGCAGAGGTTCCCGCTTGCAGATGGCAGAGCTGAGGTCAGACCGAGACACGGAATAGGATGAGCCCCCCCACCTCTGCCCAGGGCGGGAAGAGCCCTGAAAGCAGGATGGGGAGGGGCAGCCAGCGGAGGCCCTGGGGCTGACTGCAAGTCTGGGGAGTCTCTCAGAGACAGGCAGTCATGCAGGACTCGGGGTTCACTCAGGGAAAGAGCAGGGGCCTAGGCTTGGCTGCAGGGGCAGGCGGAGGGCGGGGAACCTCCCCAGCCCTGCCCTGTCCCCTCCTCTCTCCCTCCCGCCTGTGCAGGGGGGCCTCCGCTCATGACACTGAGAGGACTCGCCCCACCCCTGTCCACAGCTTCCTGGCCCTGTTCAGGTGCCCAGGGCTGGGGTGGCCTTGGCCTGGCTCAGCCAGTCTGGGATGGACTTGTAGCTCCCTTCTCAGGTGGCCTACCGGAGCCTTGGGCCAGCTGGTCCCCACCCCACTCTGGGCCTCCTCTTCCTTCTCTGTGAACTGGGGACACAGATGCCTCAGGGGTGGGGACCTGCCCCCCCGGGGGGAGGATGAGGCAGTGACTGGCCCGGGGGCGTCTTCACACACCCAGGGGTGTTGCAAGTGTGGAGTCTGAACCGGGATGTCAGGGTGGGACATCCATCTTCACAAGGCACCCCACTCCTGCCTCAGGCGACAGAGGCCTGCAGGAAGCCAAGCGGGCGCCACGGTGACACTTCCCGCTATTAATGGAGCGTAATCTAAACAAGCCCTAATATTTACGTCCAGATGCCTCCGGCCTCAGAGGGTGCCAGACAGCGAGAGTGATGAGCCCGTCCCGCCCACGCCCTTCCCGCTCATGCCTCCCAGCCCAAGGACAGAGACCCAGTGGCATGTGAGGCAGGAACAGGGAGCCGGGGGCGCAGGGCCTCCGTTTCCCCATCTGTGAAATGGGACCAACAGTCCTGACCTCCCGGGCTTGTGGGGAGGTTCAGAGAAAGGGACAACTCAGTGCCACGTTGAAGCCCACAAGTACAGCCACGGTTCCTGCCTTGCCCACGGTGACAGCTAACTGGCCCTTCCCCTCTTCTTCTCCGTCCGGGACACACCGTGGTGATGGAGGACGCTGCAGGCATTCTGCCCACGTCCATCTCTCCCCCCGGGCAGTGAAGTTGGGGCCAGGATGGGGCGAGGGCCCATCACTTGCTGGTCGGCTCCTCTCCCCCAGTGACTGTGCCCGCACCCTGCCCACAGGTCTGCCACCGTGTCCCCCCACCCCTGCACTCCAGAGCAGCCAGCTTGAGGCCCCCAGTGTGCCGCTGTCAACAACGGCAAAACCTCGAACCCGCCACCACAGCCCCTTCTGGGGGTTCCTGACTGTCCACAGGGCCGTGAGCACAGGGGGTCACGCATAGGCTAGCACCTGGCTGGGTGCCCCACGGGACCCCCACCCACCAGCCAAGTGAAAGTCTCCAAGGGGATATGCAGGGCTCGTCTAGGAGGAAGGCTTCTTGTCGAGGAGACGTTTATGTCAGATATAAGTACACATGCCACCGTGGGCCTCTGAAAAGGAGGCCATGAGGAGGGGGAGGCAGAGGCCTCGCACCCTGGCCCCTGAGGCTCAGGAGAAGGGAGCGAACACCTGTGGGAGCATGGGGGCCAGCCCCCAGCCCCTCCGGGGGCAAGGCCAAGGGAGACGGGGGAAACAGAGGCCCGACTTGCAAGGGTTCTGCACAGGGGCCTTCAGTCCGAGCTCTCAGAGGTATGAGGTCAGCCCCCCATTCCTGCCCCAGCCCTGGAAGACTGGCAGCCCCCTCCGAAGCTCGAATGGCAGAATGCTCCCTGGGCCCGAGGCCCTTACAGTCCCCGAGGAGCCGAGGCTAGAAGGCGGGATGGCAGGGGTGGGGACCAGAAGGCATAGGGAGGCAATCCTGGAGTCCAGAATGGAGGAGGCAACCAGAAGCCAGAGCCCGAGAAGGCAGAGCCCTGCCTCCCAGGGGAGAGCGAGGGGCTGTCAGTATGTGGGAAGGCAACTGTACCCCTGCCCCTGGTGTTCTCCTCCCTAGGAGGAGGCCGTGAGCCCCACCAGCCCCTGGGGCAGCAGGCAGGGTCTCTGAGAGCCTTCCTGGAGTGGGGGCTTTGGGGAGGTTTGAGCAGCTGCCACAAGACGGGCATGAGGGGGGTGTTCCCTGGGGGACGAAGGGCGGGGCTCCGACTGGGACCGGGCAGCCCCAGCCAAGGCCAGCGGCTGCTGCTCCTCCTCCCCTGCACGGCGGGTGACGGAGAAGAGGCCTCTCCTCTGTGGGGTGGCTTCAGGGTCAAGGGTCAACCCAGATCAAGTACCGGATCACAGCAAAGCGCACCCCAGGTGGCCTCTGGTCTTACCATGCAAATCTGGGATCCTTTGGTGGGGGGTCCTGCCCAAACATGGACCCCTCACGTCACTCATGTGATGCTGTGTCCCTGACGTCTCCTTTCTGTGCTTGTTCTCTCTGAGGGGGCGGATGGAGAAGGGGGTCTGGGGAGAAGGAGGAGACCTCTTCAGGTTGGCTTTTAAACTCTCCTTGGAGTCCCCAGTGTGTAGAAAAACTTTGTCCCTTTCTCTGAGGACCCCCTTCTGGGGACAGAATGGCTCAGGCAAGGAGGAGCTCCTGGCCACCCTCTCAGTTTTCAGTGGACTCTAGGGGTTAGGGATCATCTTCAGAGCACCATACCCCATGTGCAGCCTGTGGCAGACATTGTTAATCAGCCAGAGTATAGCAGCCTTAGAATCGCTATGCTGTGCCCTGGGCAGCCATCACCAATTGATGAAGGAGAAATCGATTCGCCATCCAGGCAGAGCTGGTCCTGACCTGGCAAGCTCAGCCCACTCCTGACCTTTGTCCCCCTTGCAGCTCCTGCCAGCTATGCCTCGGGCCCGTTAGCCAGGGTTTGCGAGAGGGCGCGAGGGCTGGTGCTGAGGGTGCAGTGGTGGCCCAAGTCCCTCGAATTCTTGCGCATGCTGACCACGACACCAACAGCGGGCTCACTCTCCACTCCATGCCGGCGGAAGAGGCCGCGGACGGTGGCCTGGAAGCCGCTGGTGACGAAGCAGTAGACGATGGGGTCCAGGCAGCTGTTGAGGCTGCTGAGGGTCACGGCCACGTGGTAGACCACGAGGCTGGTGTGGCGTGGCACATCTGGCCACAGCGCCACGGCCACCTGGCGGGCGTGGAAGGGCGTGAAACAGATGAGGAAGATGACGAGCACAGTGAGCAGCAGCTGCATGGCCCGCACACGGCGCCGGCGGCCCTGGTGCAGCAGCCCCGGCCGCGAGAGCGCACACACGATGCGGCCTGTGAACACGCAGATGACCAGCAGCGGCAGGAGGAACTCCAGCACCGTCAGTGCGAAGACGCGGCAGCAGGGCCCGCCGCCGGCCGTCACGCCCAGCACGGACAGGGTCACGGCGCCGGCCGCCAGCCACACGGAGACGCACACGGCCCGGGCGCAGGCGGGTTGGCGCCAGCGGCGGGAGCCCTCGGGCTGCACGATGGCCAGGTAGCGGTCCACGCAGATGCAGGTGAGGAAGAGGATGGAGCAGTGCATGTTGAGGAAGTAGCCGAAGACGTGCGGGAAGGCGCAGGACAGGCAGCCCCGCGTGCTGTAGAAGACGGCGAAGCGCGCGGGCAGGGACAGGCCCACCAGCAGGTCGGTCACCACCAGGTTGACGGTGTACACGATTGACGGCGTCGTGGCCCGTGTGCGGCAGCAGAAGACATAGAGCGCCAGCCCGTTGAGCGCCAGCCCCGCCAGGAAGATGGCCCCGTGCACGGCCATCAGGGCCAGCCACAGGCGCGGGAAGCCGGTGTGCAGCTCCTCGTCCAGCACTGCAAACAGGTGCAGCAGGGACCTCCCGGGTGCACTGAAGTTGGCCCCTGGCGCTGCCGCCGCCGTGGTGTTGGGGTCCGCCCCAGTTGAGGGCCCCACAGGAGACTCGGAGGGCATGGCGGCAGTGGCTGGCCCGCGCTTGCCTCAGGCCTGGGGAGAGAGAGATGGGGACACTCAAGCCCTGCCTGGGGGTTGCACCCAGCTGGTCTGCCCGGTGAGCGCCCCGACATGTCTGCCTTCGTGCCTCTGCCCGGCCCGGCCCAGCCCTGCCACGCCTGCCCTCTGTGCTGCCCTGGCCCTGGTCAGCTGGGGGCTGCGGCTCCTCTGGTCGCAAGTGCAAACCCCGGCAGTGCAGGCCCGAGGTCCCCAGGACCTGGAAGACAGAAGTGACAGCTGTGGCGTAGCCAAGAGGGGTGGCCCCCTCCTCCCTCTTTGCGCACCTTGGGGTGAATGGCCAGCTGCCCTGGGCCCAGGGCCCGGCCTGAACAGACGGCGGCAACCCCAGAGTCGAGGGATGACTCGCGGAGCCCAGCAGAACCCAGCGCCAGCTCAGTGCCAGAGAATCTGGTGTTCTGCTCATGGCCTGGCCCTTGGTGGCCCACTCTGAGGGTCACCCAACCCTGGCCCCGTCCTCCAGGCCACTGTCTGTCCTCACCTCCACCAGCACTGGCACCGGGTCAACACCGGGGATGAGGGGCCTCTTGCAGAGCCCTCCCTGGGGACAGGGAGGGGGCTGAGAACCAGCTCCTGGGTGGCCCCATTCCCCACCAGCCCAGGGAGGCCAGCTGCCCAGTCGAGTGGGCACCCCACAGTGCAGTGTGGCTCACTGAGGCCAGAGCCGTGCAGGGTCCCAGGGCAGAGGGGTGTGAGTCAGACAAATCTCTGTGCTTGGGGGCCCTGGCGAGTTGGTGGGGGTGGGTGGGGGGCTGGGCTGGGCCGCCCACTCTGTTTATGTCCTCGCTGAGCTGTTTGACTTGCAGAGGTTTATCCTTTTATTTACAAAGGAAGGGTTACTGGCCCCCAGCCCCACCCTGCTGGCTGGTCCTCCAAATAAGGACATCTCTGGCTTTTTCAGGGGAAAGGCGAGGGCTTTGGAGAGAAGCAGGAAGGGGGGTGGCATGTGCACATCCGGGGTCTCAGTGCATCCACCGCCCCTGCACAGGCAGGGTGGACCCTCTCTCTGAGCGGCCACGGGAAGTGAACAGGCTGGACGCTGCCTGCCCCTCCGGCCACAGGCTCTCTCCGGCAGCATCCACCCTGTGGAGTGGGGACTCTGAGTCCTGCTGGCTGGGGCCGGCGTGGGCCGGGCAGAGGAGCCCTCAATAGCTGAGGCTCAGGTCCCAAGGTGGCCTGGAGGGACCCTGTGCAGAACAGGTGGCTGCCTTTACTCTTGGGTTCAGAGAGGTCAGCACCTGCCTGAGGTCACCCAGCTGAGCCTCTGCCTCCCCAGGCCGGGGCTGCGGGGAGGGGCCAAGTACTGCCCAGGCCTGTGCGTGAGCCCCCTCGGGCCCAGGCCTTGGCTCCCGTTCCTCCAGGTGGGCTGCCTTGTGCCTGGGACCCCCCGCCCTTAACAGGGTCAGTGGATGCGGCTCGGGGAGACAGGAGTGTGAGGAGCGCCGGGGTGGGGAGAGCCCAACCGTGGGCATGGGGGTGGTGGGCCTCGTCCTCTGGTGTGAAGGGCGGGGAAAGAGGGCCACCGGGAAGGACAGGGGTGTCACCCAATGGGTCCCTCCCCCGGCTGTGAGAAGACCATGCCTCGCAAACCAAGGGCACCGGGAGCTGGCGCAGGGGGCCGGCGGCTGGTTTCCCACGGGCCTGTGCAAGGCGCCATCACTGTCATGACCGGAGACAAATAGTAAACAGTACAGATGGGTCCCCTGGCGGGCGCTCCCAGAGGCTCCCCCAGGGCCACCCTCGCCCCGAGGAGCCTGGCCTCGGGGCGGGGCCGCGGGTGGGGTGTGCGCAGGGGGCTCGGGGCTCCAGGGGCCGCATAGGTAAGGAGGGGTGTGGGCAGAGCACACGCTGGCTCTCAGCTTTGAGTCTGAACCCCCACCCCGCCCCTCACTGAGTCACAGTCCCAGGTACGACGTGAGGCTGCTCTGGTATCTGTCATGCTGAGCCCCGACCCCAGGCACAGGCTGAACCCTGACCCTGCTCTGAGCCCGGGCCCTCACCTCTGACCTTCCACACCCACCACCTCTTTTGCTGTTCCCCGCACTGAGTCTGGCTCTCACCACCCCTGCCCCCTCGTTCCCCCCATAGACCCATCCTGCTGCCTCACAGTGACCTGTCCCGATTTCATTATTCCGCGGCCCCTCTACCTGGGGCACTGACTCACGACCTGTCTGTTGAAGGGCGCCGAGCTCTGATGCTGAGACCACAGGCCCCATGCTCGGTCCACCCACGGAGCGGCGCCTCCTGGGCAGGTGTCCCACCAATGTCCATGCCGACCCAGCCTGCTGGCCGTCCCCTCCCGGGCCAGGGAAGGGGCTGCACTGGGAGTGTCTTTGTGGAGACACTGCCCACCCCCCATGGCCTCAGGAAGGTGACGACTTCTCTGGGCCTCAGTTTCCCTGCTGGTCGCCCACGGCCGCTACTCCACAAGGCCCCATGGGATGGCCCTCTCCACCCCTGACTCTGCTTCTTCAAGCCTGTGCCCTTCTGGGGGCCCTGACCCCTGAGCGGGGGCCCTGGCCCTCTCCCACCTCCTCAGCACACCCACGCCCCCATGGCAAGGTGGGGGGACGTCACAGCTGGCGGCGGCTGGGCGCTGGGCGCTGCAGGAGGGTCAGGACGACACTGCTCTCCTGCAGGGGGCGAGCTTGGGCTCCCTCGGAGCCTGTCCCCCAGCCTGTGGAGGGACATGTGGCAGCTTCTTCTTCCCACGGTTTCCCAGAGGGCTCAGGGCAGCGATGGGCTTCCAGACTGTGACTCCTCCCCGTCCCGCCCCAGGCCTTCTCCACTAGGACTCGAACCCAGGTCTGCCAGGGGCATCCCACAGCCAGGTCCTTGACCCTGAGAGGGCGGGGGGGGGGGGGGGGCGCCCAGGAAGCAGGTCCCTCTGCTGGCAGCGACGAAGCACCCACGCCCCACACGCCCCTCCTGCCTGGCCCTGAATACGGCTGGGAAGGGGAAGGAAAGCCTGTCCCACTGTGCGGACAGCCCAGCCCGGGCACCCACGCCCGCAGTTGGGGCTCCTCCGGCCTCTGTGAGGCTCCGACCGGGGACCCTCCCTAAGGAGGGAGGGTGAGCATCTTTCCCCAAGTCTTTGGACCCCGTCCCCTTCTGGGGCTCCCCCTCTGTCCAGCCTAATGGCCACATGGCTAAGGGGGGGCTGTGTGCCTCACTGCATCCACTCTCGACCCACTGGGTCCCTGACATGTGCCCAGCGACACATGGCCAAGACCTCCCGGGGGGCTAGGTCAGGAGGTCTCTGACCTCCTCCCCAGGGCAGGTAGGGTGTGGCCTGGCCTGTTCACGACTCCTTTCAACCCCCTGGCCTGTCCCTGCTCTCTGTGGATTCTAGCTGCTGGGCAGAGGGGACCACAGAGGGGGCCACACAGGGGAGCCTGGGCTCAGCCGTGGGGCACCAGGGGCTGCCTGGGAGTCTGCTGCCACCTCCAGGGTGGGGAGGGGCAGTTTGGAGGCCGGGCCCAGCTCCCCCCTGCCCGAGGTGCTGAGCCCCTGCTCTGGGCCAGGTGCTGGGCCGGACCCTCTGCATCCGCACAGCAGTCCTGGGTTTGGCAGACGAGGAAGCGCAGGCCCAGAGAGGTGAGTGGCGTGCCCTAGGTCACACAGCACAGAGGTGGGAATCAAAGCCAGGTCCTCCTGCTCCTGGCCCGCTCAGGGGTGGAAACGGGCCGGGGGGGGGCCTCTCTGGAGCCTGAGATTTGTGCATGAGAAGGTTCTCTGGCACAGAGCACCCACATGTGCCCACACCCCGGCAAGATGACTTTCCAAGGCCCAAATAGCCGCTATTCGGGGAACCATGGTCTGTTTATTTTTCTGATTATTCTTGGTTTCATGGCATCTGCTTTAGAATATCGCCTGCTGGTTTTGGCTGGTCCGAGCCTCTGCTGGCTCCCTGGGCCCTGCCTGAGGCCCCCAGGGGGGACCAGGCTGGCTCCGGTCACCTGGCAGACCCTGGGTAGTGTCAGGCAGAGTCTAGGGCCCTTCTTGGCCAGGGCTCCCTCTACCCAGCACCAGGAGAGGGCCACTCGTGGGCACGGGCCTCCCCGCACCTGACCACCACCCGTGCCAGCCCCTGAAGAAATTCGAGTTTCTCGGGGGGCAGCCCTGGCGTCACTGCACAAGGGGTCCTGTGGGTGCTCAGAGAGCCCTCCCCCCAATCACGCACCCCCTCGGGGGTGCACTACCTGGCCCCCGCCTGGCCCGTCTCTGGGGAGACCCTCAGCCTGGCGCTCTCAGCCTTTGCATTTCCGTTCCCTCTGCCTGGCCTGCCGTCTGTGTGTGCAGCACCTGGTGCCTCCCTCTGTCACCACCCCGTGCCCTCCTCCTCGAGCCCTCTCACCTCCACTCACCCTGAACACTCTTCCCCTGGGGCCCCACGATTCAGGTATTATCTCCAAGACGACCCCTTGTGGGGTATCACTGACCCCTCCCCCGATGCACCCAGTTGGTGCCGCCAGCCCCACTCGGCCTGTGAGGCGCGTCTGAGTCACCCAGAGGGGCTGGGGGAGCCGGGGGTTTGACCTCTGCCCTGTGGTTCCTCCCACCTGCACCATGCCCCGGAAGTGCACAAGCCTGCTGGCAGGGAAGGGGCTGTGCAGGCCTCGGGGCAGCAGTGGGACCAGGCTGCACAGCCAGGAAGCCCCTAAGGGGAGGCCCTGGGTGGTCTTCTGGCTGGGAGTGACCAAGCGTTGGGAGAAGGGCACGATGGCCAGTGGGCAGCTTGGCAGCCAGTCTGAGGGCCATGAGGGACACTGGCCCCGGTCCTGCCTGTCCCTTCCTCGTTCCCACTCTGCCTGAGGATTCACAGCTGTTCTCCGTCTGCCCCGCCCGCCACCCTGGCCCCAGGCCAGTTCCCAATTCCCCTGCCCGCCCCCTCGGGACCCTGCTACTTCTCACAGGGCAGTTGCTACCGAGAGAGATCCAGGCCAGGGCAGAGCCAGCTCCGAGGCCCATGCTGGGGGTGGGTGGTGGGCCTGGGCCTCAGCTTCCTGGCCCCAAATGGGTTGGGGGAGGGCACGGCTGGAGCAGAGAGCCTGAGCCCAGGACTGGCTCTCCACAGGGGGCGTGCCTTGCTCTGAGCCTGTCCCCACAAACCCCTCAACCCCAGCCTTGCCCCAGCCTGGGGGACGGCGGTGGCCAAGGTCCCAGAGCTCATCCAGTGCCTCTGGGGTCCCCCACCCTGGTGCCTTGACAGGTGGGAGAGCAAGGCCCAGAGCCTGGCTCCCGGCAGACGCGGGGAGTGTGTTGGATGAGTGAGTGAATGGAACCCACAGAAGCGCTCTGGGGGCTCGGCAGCGCAGGTGGGGCTCTGGGGCCAGAGGGACGCCCCACGAGCCCTTGGGCGCTCCCCGGCCCGCTCTGCGCCCAGCCCAGCCCATCTAGCCACCCTCCCCCCGGGGCTCAGTGTTCCTGTCTCTACAATGGTCTGCAGGGAGGGACCTCAACACGTCTCCTGGCCAGAGAGCAGCACCGACCACCTCCAGAGGCTGGGATTCCAGTTCCGGTGCCCTGGGGAACTCACCCCACCTTCGCCTGCCCGGCGGCTGGAGACAGAGCCGGTGCTCCCTGGGCCTCCCTGGCAGCTGTGTGGCCACTCAGGCAGGCCGTCAGACGCGCCTTCCTGGGGCCTGACGTCAGGCCGGCGCCCGCCCGGGTCTCCTTTTGGGCAAAGGCAGCGGAGGTGGGGGCGGGGGGGCGGGGCGGGGGCGGGGCGGCTCTCTTTCTCCCCTCCCCCCTCCATGGGCCCCTTGAGGAGCTCCATTCCAGGGCTTTGAGGGGAGGAGCTTAGGGGCTGCAGAGCCCACAGCCCTGCTTGGCAGAAGAGGAAACTGAGGCACTGAAGTGTGGGGCCAGAGCTGCACCGCCCCCCCCCCGGGGGCAGGGTGAGCAGGGAGTGATTGGCGGCTCCAGTCCTGGCTCTCTGTCCCCCCATGTCCTGTCTACCCGTGCCGCAGGGCCCACGACGGTGCAGCCAGCGGCCCTCCAAGTGCCAGGGAGGTGGGAAGGCACGCAGACCAGTTTTCCGTCTGGGAGGGGGCAGACGTCGGCCCGGGCTGCGCCCCGCTGCCCTCGGCTCTGAGGTCCGCACGTTCTGGGCCTGGGTGCGCCCGGAGTGCCCGAGGGCCTGCCTGAGCAGTACCTGGGCCTCCGAGCCCATTGGTGCACGCCCCTCGGAGGGGGCAGCTTCCCAGGCACAGGCGCTCCTGAGCGTGTGTGTGGGGGGCTGGCACCAGCCCTCAGCCCCGCATGACCTGATGTCACTCCAGGAGGCCTGGCCTCTCTGTGGGGACACGTGGGTCGGCTGCGTGGGAAAGACTTGGACCTGACCGGGGCCAGTGGGCAGTAAATCTCAGCACTGGAGCCTGGTCCAGGGGGCGGTGGGGGGGTAGCCTGCCCTTAGCAGGAGCGCTGAGCAGAGCGGAGGCTGGGGGATCAGGGTTTCAGGCCCGAGGGAGGGTGGCTGGCGTGAGGTCGGGGTGCCCTCCCCAGTCACCTGTCCCTGTGCCCCTGCTCACTCACGCACGTTAATCCTCCGGCACCTTGTCTGCTGAGCACGACTGAGCTGGTCTGTGCCAGGCACTGGGGACACAGGGACGGCCAACCCTGAGGCCCCAGCCTAGGAGACCTTTCTGGTGCCACCCGCAGGAGGAGGCGAAGGTGCCCAGGCCCGGGTCCAGCCTGCTGGGGTGGGGTGCTTGGGGGAGGGCCCCCGGAAGGGGAAGCACAGCTCCAGGCAGAGGCGGCGGCAGGGGGACCCAGAGCTGGCAGTTTGGGTGGGTGGAGGACGGGGAGGGTGGCAGGATGCCACCCTGGGCAACAGGAACTGCACCCTGGGGTCCCCAGGTGTGGAGGGCAGGGAGGAGCAATGAAGCTGGGACTGAACGGGGGTGGTACGTTGGGTTTCAGCTGCCCCCGTGGGCGCCAGAATGGTGTTCTTCGCCCTGAGGGCAGTGGTGCTAGAAGACCCCGTGGGACTCTCCTGCGGGGTCAATGGCCATGTGCCCCAGGGAAAAGTGACCTGGTGTGTCTGGGTGAGCGGCCTGGGCGGCCCTCCGCAGCCCCGGGTTCGAGCCCAGCTGGACCACGCACTTAAGTGCTCGAGGGGGGACAACGGGCCTGAGAAAGGCCCCAGGGCCGGCCCCTGGGCCCGGGAAGCCTGAGGCCTGCCTGCAGGTGGGTGTTGCCCAGGAAGGCCCTTCAGGTGTGCAGCCCGGGCTGGAGGCGGGGACTCCTGGGAGGCCCCTGGCAGCGACCAGAGCTGGAGAGAGGAGGGGGAGGCTCAGTGGGGGCAGAGTTTTTGATAAGTGAGTGCGGGGAAGGGCACCCCCATGTCCTCCAGTGGCCCTCACATGGCCCTGCTGGGCCAGCCCCACTTTCTCTCCAGGAGTTTCGGGAACCTGCTTCTGGACACGGGGGAGAGGACCCCATACCCCAACCCAGGGCAGAGAGTGTCGGGTTCGAGGTCTCTCCTAAGTCTAGGTCCTGGTCCAGGAGCAGCTGGTGGCCCACATCCTGGAGGCCGAGTTCAGCTACCAAAGGCCGTCCGCCCGGGCCAGGAACCGGCCACGTCCCCCGCAGGGCCTCGGACCGGCTTTCTATTTCTGGGCTCCCCACGGGACTGGGGGAGCCGTGTGTGTCTGTGTCTGTCTGTGTGGTGGGCCTCGTGGGGGAGGCCCTGACTCCCGGGCTCTGCTGCCCTGGCCGTCCGGCAGGGAGCAGGGACAGTGGGGGTCTTGTCCATGTGGGGAGGTGGCAGCTGCGGTGAATTCATCGGCACAGCCCCGTGCACCTTCCTCACGGGGCAGAGAGCTCCCGGCGCCGTGTGCCGCCAGGGTGACCCGGAGCCCTCCTGCAGCAGGCGAGGCTTGGGGTTGGAGGCTGGATGAGTGGGGGTTGGCCCCTGCCTCCCTGGGGCACCGTGGACACAGCCCAGCCTATTTCCTCCCTGCCCTGGGTCTGTCCCTCTGGGCAATGGTGATGAAGCCCAGCCGGGAGGTGGAAGGAGGTTTGGGTCACTGTCCACAAAGGTCCTGCCTCCTCCTCACCCCCCGCCAGCCCAGGGGCGGGCGGCTGCTGGGAATGGGTGGAGGGAGGCTGTTTCTGTTGGTGAGGAAGGCGGTGTTCTGGAGGGCCAGCGCCAGGTCTCCGGGGTGGTGGGCGGGAGGGCACCGGGCAGGTGTGCAGGCCGGCCCCCGCAGTGTCCCATGACACCTACCCAGGATCCTGAAACCCAATTGCTCCGACATGGAAGGGCATGCGGGTGAGTTTGACACCAGGCCCCTTGGCTGCCCCCACTGGGCTTGGTGGGACCCACCCTGGAGGCGGGACACCTGCTCCTGCCAGACCTGAGCCCTGGGCCTTGCTGATGGGATGCAGGGCTCAGGCCCCTGAGCGGTCTGCTGTCTGCTGAGCCGTCTTCCCGGGGGCCTCCGGGGCAGCTGGCCACCCACCCTTGCTGGGCATCGTCCCCGGCAGTGCAGGCTCAGAGCGTCTCCTTGCCTGGCCCCTAAGCACTTGGCCAGGGAGGGCCGCCCTCTTCCCCCTGCAGCCCCTCCAGGGCCAAGCCAGGACTCGGAAGCTTTGGGGGCAGGAGGCCAGTGGTCTGTCTGGGGGCAGGACTCAGAGACTTAGAGTCTCAGCCCTGGGCTCAGGTCCCAGGTCCGCGCCTGGCCAGCTACGGCCTCACAGCCCAGCTTGCCCACCTGGAGTTGGGAACAGGGGCCCGTCTGCCCCACCAAACTCATGGGGCCATGTGCGGGAGGCTCAGGGCTCAGAGTGGGACCTGGATCAGGGCTCAGTGATGGCCAGGCTCAGGGCTCAACGTGTGTGACCAGGGTTCATCTTTGGCTGCAGCCGGCTGCCAGGCCCCCCACCTGGGTACCCCCTGACCCTGGCCCCTCTTAAGAAAGGTCCTCGCATGTCACAGATGGCCCTGTGAGCTCTGGGTCTTGCCCCATCCCTGACCCAGGGAGAGGTTTCTCTCTCCGATGGGGTGGGGGTACTGAGGCCCCCCTGGGCCCTGCTCTCTCTCCCCTGGGAGCTGATGGTGTCTGGGATCCTCCCGGGGGCAGGGGGCCCTTGGCTGCTTCCTGCTTATGAGACTTGTCAGAAGGACAGAGGCCAGACCTACGTGGTGTTTAGATGGGCGGAGGGGCCGGGGCAGGCGGAGCTGGGGGAGGGAGGGAGAGCTGGTGGGAGCCATGTGCCTTCCCAGGCTGTCAGAAGGCTGCCCTTGGTCAAGGTGTTTTCAGACCCTCGGGCCCGGCAGTGGAAGGAAGGAGGGTTGGGCTGAAGGCTGGGCCTTGGGCCCTGCTGTGCCCCCCACGGGTTGGACCCCAGGCTCCAGCCCCTACCCCAGCTGCTCTCAGAACAAGCCCTGGGTTGAGACCTCGCCCTGTGGGTCCTTCTCAGTGGGGGTTTGAGGGGCTTCAACCTGGCAGGGAAATCGGTTAACCGATTCAAACTTTAAATGGGCACGATGGTGACGGTGAAGATGAGGAGGAGGAGGACAGCATAATCGGTCAGGACAGTGATTGCTGCAGCTGTGGCCAGCACTGCCTGGGCACTGGCCGAGCCTCCATAAGGAGCACCAGCACGGGCGCAGCCGACAGGAATGCCACCGCTGCAGAGGAGAGAAAGTCCCAAGGGGGGGTTGAGGCAGACGGAGTGGCAGTTGCCCGGGGCAGCGGGGAGGGAGCAGCTCCCGACTGCCCCCCGACTCCCCCTGGGTTGGCACTGTGCCCGCAGGGCCTGCCGCCTGTGCAGTGGGGTGCGGGTGTGAGCCGTTGTGCGTCTGCACCTCAAGTAGCAGGGTGTGTCCGCTCCAACACGAAGTTTAAAAACTGAACAAGGACAGTCCTGTATAGGAGGAAGCTCGTGGGGTCTCCTGGCATTCCAGCTGGGTGACCTGGTTCAGGGTCCAGGGACCCCCAGAATTTGAGTGTGAAACTGTCCACTTGTGTCTCGAGGGCCGGAGCATTCAAGCATCCGGGCCCCTGCGGGTTAAAGCACGTGGCCCAGCCCCTCTCTGCAGGTGGGCAGGGGCCCCGCGGTCACAGGAGAAGGTGGAGAGTCAGGGCCAGGACAGGCTTCGGAAGGCCTCTCTGCCCCCTGACCCTGGACCCTCCTTCAGGGGCTGATTTCTGACCACAGCCTTGTGCCCCAAGAAGCTGGAGAGGCTGGGCGGAGACCACGGGAGCAGCAGTGGGGCTTTGGGGACGACAGGTTGGACTCTAATCCTGGTCCCTTAGCCTCCCCGTGCCTCAGTTTCCCCATCTGCACGACGAGGACAGCGGTGCCTGGCCCTGCAGTGAGGAGTAAAGGAGGCGGCAGAGGTGGCGGGGGTCGAGTGTGCACGAGCGCTGCCGGGGGCTTTCTCAGTGAGGCCAGGCTGGGACCACAGGAGGCCCAGCTGAGGGATCTGGGCAGGGGCCAGGCTTCTGTCCCAGCGGACACTGGCCCAGCAGCCCGCTCTGCTCCCGGTTTCCAACCCAGCCCCTGGCCGACGCTTCCTCACTGTGGAGGTCCGTCTCAGAGGGGCGGCGTCCCTCCCTCCCTCCGTCCGTCCACCTCCATC